CAAAGACACACAGATGTTTGTCTAGAGTAATTTTTGCTTATTAGTACGGTTGAACTGGATCTTCGAAGGTCAGAAGCAAAGACATTGTTTAATAGAATGGGATTAAATACATAAAGGATATTTGTGTTTTTTAACATTTAATTATTGCAGGTTTGCGTCATATTTTGAGTTGCATTATTTTTATTCATTTTGAGGAATACTGAATCTGTGTTTTTTTTTGAGTGAGATGAATTAATGCATATTCATATTTATTTTAGAACTACAGTAACATCTTCTGATTTCTCTCAACATGGGGACAGGAGAGCTGTCAATCAATAAATTGGGAAAAAAAAGTAACTTGCGTTACTTATTTGAAAAAGTAACTCAGATATGATCTTGTAAATTAAAAGGTAATGCGTTACTTTACTAGTTACTTGAAAAAAGTAATCTGATTACGTAACTTGCGTTACTTGTAATGCGTTACCCCCAACACTGTTGACCACTGACTAGTTGGTCAGTTGTAATCTATGGAACTTTTATTCCTAAACTACTAAATGATGTGCTTTTGCTGTAAATGTTTCAGGAGAAACTGAGCACACAGGATCAGTTCAGTCGTCATCTAACACGACCTCCACCAGACTACAAACACCCACGCAATGGAGTTGCCGCTCAACAGCCAAGCTTATACTCAGGTGTGGATTGTATTTTCAGTGTCATATAATATGGGAATGAAATATCTAGTTCAGTCATGAAACTCTAGATGGCACAGACTGATAGGACCTTCACATGTAATCTGTTAGCAATCACATCATTTACTACACATGCTGATTGGCCTCTGCTGATTCTGCAGCCAATGAGATTGCTTGCTCAACATTTAAATAGACTGTTGCAGTGTTCACCATAAGCTCTTCCTGCAGCACGCTATCAGAATTCCTCTAAAACCCTCCACCTCCCCCAGCTCCACCTGTCTAGAGCAAGTCCATACTTGCTTTGCAACAGCAGCATGCATAGGAGATCTAGTCTGCTAAGACCAAATACATTACCATTGTCATATCCATTAACATGCTAAAACTATTCAGAGAGTTGTCATGATTGAACTACATAATGAAGTAAATGAAATGAATTATACTCACACTGATGATGTGGTACGAATACGATTAATTGAACTAAATTGATTAAGCAACCACACCAAACCTTGACTCAGATATTAGTCATTTTCAGTATGTTATTGCTTAGTAAATCAATATTTTACGTCACAGATAAATTTTATGCATATGCAACAGGCAATGGGTCAGACCAAAGTGGAATCCAACCCTTGTCATGCCACCTACCCAATGGACAAAGTACCAAGATGGTGCCTACCTCAGGAGAGAGAAGGTTTCCACTTGGACAAGACCCTAATTCAGGACCCACAGGCTCTCAAGCTTGCACAAACCAGCTCCAACAGCAACCCAGCAGCCTGATCCGAATGGGGCTTCAGCAAAACAAGCCTCAGTTCCATGGGACAAACAACCAGAGTGCCACTTTTCAATCGAGCACTCAGCATGTAAGGACGAGCATCCGTCAGGATTCCCTGCTGGGGCAAAGATTGGGTGACATGAGCACCAATACCAGCAGGATGGACACTGCTTTGAACTGGACAAACAGCGGAAAACAGAGTGGAGCTCTGTCAGGACTAGATGTCAAAAGGCTCTCCAATACAGTGATGCCCCAAAGTGACATTCATTTTCCTCCGAGGTCTATTTGCCCACCTAACCAGGTGGCGCCTCATTCTAACCTGTTATCCATAAACCCTGCAATCAGAAGCCCTGCTCCTAGAGCCAGTCAGCCTAGGATACCCCCTCTACCTGGGGTGACTTGCCTGACTCAGTCGTCCCCAGAACAGCAAGGTTGCCCGACCACATTTGGAGAGCTGAGCCAAAGCCCAGCAACTTATCAGAACAACCGGGCAGGTCGATTGACCTTTGACTTCTTACCGGAGGATGATAACACGGTACCAGGGATAAATGCAGACTCAGATTTCATCGACTCCCTGCTTAAATCAGGTTCAGGCAATGATGACTGGATGAAAGACATCAACCTGGAGGAAATTCTAGGCGGACATTCATAAAACAGACTCAAAGCATGAGAATTTAGTTTGAACTGACTGTATTAGGAGCCTGATGTGAATGGCCTGTAAAAATGTTTTATTACCCTTCTATTTGTGTGGAAAACAAATGTATTATATGTTCTACTATATTGTTGGGTTGTTTCTTCATATCGTCTACTAACATGTTGTAAAGTTTCATGTTCATGGCTTCATTGTTTTAAATCAACCACAGAGTACCCCCAAATCCATTCCAGTTGTCATTAAAATGCTGTGAGATTTCTGTTAGAGCTTTTGTTACTAATCCATTAGTGCAGAGATTAATGTAAAAGAGCCTGTGATTTAACTGCCATGATAGAGACACTGAGCATGACATTGGCACTTAAAAACCAATTTATTATGATAAATACTTTGTTCTGGCTCTTATAGATCAAGGTTATACATCTTAAATATTGTAATATTGAAATACTGTTGCATAACATAAAAGTCCAGATCTGTTTTGACTATCTATTCTCAAATTACATATCAACGGGTATTGAAAAAGATCCATTTATGTATAATTTTATTACACATCCAAAAGAGAAAATTTGTAAAGGGAATGCACATATACTCAGAATGTTAGATGCTATTGTTAACTGATAAAGTCGACCTTCTTTAGAAAGACACGTTAAGTTTATAAGTTCTTATTGGTAATATTGTATTTATACACCTGTATCTCAGTATATAAAATATATTTTCTATTTCTTTTCTATTATGCGTCATAAAAGTGTATATCCTATTATGTCAATTTAGCCTTTGATAATAAACTTCATCAAAGAAGAACCTTTACAGCACATTTTGACAATTTGTTTCTTATATTACAGGTCAAATGGAAGTGAAGTGCCACACGGCTCTGTCTTAGGTCCTCTGTTGTTTTTACCAGATTCAGAAAATCTGATCATCAGCAGTAATCCATAATTTCTACACTGAACACCTGTTAGATTCCTGAACAGTTCAAATATTGCTACATGTAAAGCTCTTAATACTGCAGATCTTCAGTACTTAATCAGTCTTCCTTCAATAACCCTGTAGTCCATAGCTCACTGAATTTACAAGATGATTTTTAATTATGAACTATAAAAATATAACTTTACCATTATTTGTTTGCCTATTCTCACAAGCAAACCAAATGTCACAGTCATGAGTTCAATCTATAAACAATCAAAAATAAGTTATTTTTTTATTATAGTTATTATTTATTTAGGTAACACTTTACATCACAGTTCTATGTTAACTTTAGTTAGTAACAATTTAATAACCATGAACAATTTATTAAACTAAGTTCATTTTAATTTTTACATATACTAATATTTATAACACTTCACGGTAGCTAGTTATTACGTCAGTTAATTATGAACTAACAAATTAAGAATGAATAATAGCACATTTGTTAACTAACATGAATCTAAACTAATAAACTTTAACTTACTGGACCTTATTGTAAAGTATTGCCTTTCTTTAACAATACTGTCATACAGCAATAAATAAAATACTACATACATGATTTGTACCACAGAGGAATCAAAGACCGCAAGGCTTTGAATAAAGGTCTTGACTTAAATTGATTAAACCCTGTTGAGATATCAAACTTTTCCATCATGACTTGAGACGTGATACTAGCAATCTGAACCCATATCGGATCCAAACAGACTGACAAAAACAGTATGGGGGCTAAATCATATAGGCCCGAAAATAGTTAAACATATGGGACATGTGTACCAGATTTGAATATATTTCTAACAATCAAAAGACGTTGTTTTTTCAAAAGACATGTTTTACATATTTAAGGTTTTCACTTATGTTAAATGCTCAGATGCTGAGATGTTCAAATGGGCAGGTTGTGAAGGGTAATCATGTTATTAAGATTCACAAGCCAAAATGAAAGTCAAAAATTAAGCCCACATCAAAACCTATAAAAGTCTATAAAATACTCTTTATTGCAGGCCAGGAGATGTATGGTACAAATCAGGTGACCCTGCTTCAAACCTCTTCAGAAAAAAGGCACTGTCCCATTCCAGTCAATAACAGCTCCCTCCCACTTGGTCCTAATGGTCATCTCTACAGATGGAAACTTTTTTTCTGGGTCTCCTTGAATGTCATTATTTTCAGCCTCCCAGTGATGGGAGTGTGTATCTGAAATACAAAAGAGCAATACAATAAATACATTTAAAATTTTTGGTTCACACAGGCAGGTGGCATCAATGAGCAAGATGCATGGGCAGCAGCTAATGACTGTACCTATGGTGAGCATTGTGTTGAGCTGAGTTGGATGGCCATTGTAGAAGTAAAGCTGGAAAAGATGCTCCATTTTCCAGTCAGAGAGCAATGAACGGTTTGGGCTGAATAAAACACTGTAGGTGCCATTGATGTTGCACACCCAGATAGGCAGCTTGGGTGTTTTCAGCATGCTGCCCACCTTAGGAGAAAAGTGTTCAACTCAACATGGATGCAACAAATATAATAGATTACAGTGCAGTAATACAAGAACTAAGAAGCCAAAAGTCCTGTGGGAGCAGATAAAGCAGCACTCTTTAAGTAAAGTCATACAAAATGAATCCAGAAAAACATCAATACACTCTGGGTATTAGCTTAGAACAGATCACATGAACCATGTGGTGCAAGCAACATGCAGATGTCAAAGGTCAGTAATGCTGTTTGACATTTTTATAACAAGGAAATGATAGTAAAGGCTGTAATATGTCAGAACCTCTAGGGAGCCATTTTAGGGTGCCTCAAGTAACCTCGGCTTTTAATCTATCAATCATTGTTAAAGTCCCCATGAAATCAAAATTAAAGTTTTTTTGGGTGTTAGTATCAATATGTTAGTCTTAAGGTTATCTATAAGGCAGTGTGCTCCAAAACAGTGACAAAATTCGCATTTAGAAAATATAAGCGTTCAAAGCTTGCAGTTCGTCACTTCCGCCAAAACGGCTCAACCCACAGAATTAGTATTTTCTGTTCAGTGAATGGCACGTAGTGCACTATATAGGGGACAGGGAACGATTCAGACAGTGTAACTATGCTTTCCATTGAGGAAAAAAAGAAGTCTGGTTTTGCGCTGTGTCACGCTAACCACCGCACACACACTCTGCTCCGGTCCAGAGACACGATAGCACGGAGCGGATCACATGCGCGAGTCGGCGCAGACCACAAAATGTATCGGAGCTATTTGAATTCTACACAGCATGCTATATTTTATAGCAATATGGATGAGATTGTGGCTGGCATACCCTGTCAAATGCGGCTTTATGGAGCTCAACGGCTCTGAACGGCTCTAGCCCAAGCTGTGATATAAACGAATGCTATTGGCTATTTTAAAAAGGGGCGGGGCTGCTTGATATGTCCCGCCCTGTCTTCCTGTTCCAGTTAAAATGACATCAACACACATAGAGTAATGCTGCGTGTTTCTAAGCATTTCAGGGGACCTTTAAGATTCTTTTTAATGTGCCTATAAAAATACTGTAAGGTTTCTTTTAGACTTGTGCCGGTATTCGGTAATGCGATATATCACGGTAATGAATATGCACGATATTGTTATCGTGGGCACTTCTAAATACCGTGAATAATTTATATATTACAAATTATTCCGAATTTTGAATGCATTTTAAGAATACTTTTCCCATCAACTGGTCAAAATGCACAACACCGCTGTATGCTGCGTGAAAGACGCGTGCGCACTCTGATGTAAACAAGCGCGGACGAGAAGCACATGGCGGAACATGTGAGAGACGCTCTGGATGAAAGCGCACTTTCACTCTCTGACAGCAGATGGCGCTAAACTGCAGAAATAATAATAATAATAATAATAATAATTCATTTAAATGCAGCCGTTACCCTGGAAACCCTGTAAACAAAGTAGCTGCATTACTTTCTGTTTCTGAATCATGTTTAAATAGCCATTCAGATTTGTGTATTTGCTATGATGTTCATCACAGCGCCAAATACTTACATATTTAGACTTAATAGGCTATTTATTTTCAAACTTTTTTTTACATTTTAATCTGGACTACAACATGCCCTAGATATTGTTTGAAAGTGTTTTGATTCTTTATTGTTCGGTCACACTTTACATTAGGGCTTCATTAGTTAACATTAGTTAATTCATTAGTTAACATAAACTGCCAATGAAAAATTCTTCTGAACATTCATTAATCTTAGGTATTCCAATATTTAATAACAGAATGTTAAAATGCAGCTGTGTTATTTAATGAGCTAACTTGAACTAAGACTTGTATTTTTTAAACAAGGATTAATAACTTATGTAGCAATTGTTGCTATTGCTCATTGTTAATGTTAATGCATTAACTAAGGTTAACTAATGAGGTCTTATTGTAAAGTGATACCTATTGGTCTTTATAGTTCTTTTGCACTTTAATCTGTGTAAAACTTTTAACTTTATACATTTTTCTGTATTGCTTTATTGCATTTAAATGTTCAGTTATTTTTGTTATAAGAAAAATGTTATTAAACCTGTTATACTGTATTATGACAGCACTTTTTAAAACTAAATTTCAATATCGTGATAATACCGAATACCGTGATAAAAGCATTAGCAATTAATCGCAACATGAAAATTCGATACCGGCATATCCCTAAATTGTCTTTATTACTTTATTACAATTATGCAAAGCAAAACCATAAATGTTGACTTTCACAAACCATCACTTATTTGTGAGCTTGCGCTTGGGAGACTGAGAACAAGAAGTTTAAAGTTTACAGGCTCATAACTTGTAAGAATGCGTATTGCAAAATGTCTTTATTGTGCACTGAAGGAACTTCAACTTCAAGGGCTCCATTTTTTTTTTACAATAAATTCCTCAGAGAAATACCCCTTTTTCTTTTGTGAATTTTTTTGCCTTGAGATCCTCTTAAGCAGGGGTGTCAAACTCAATTCCAACACACATACCATGAAGTTTTCAAATAAGCCTGAAGGACTTGATTAGTTGGATCAGGTGTGTTTAATTAGGGTTGAATCTAAACTCTGCAGGGCTCCGGCCCTCCAGGAATTGAGTTTGACACCCCTGCTCTAAAGGGTTTGATCAATATGGTAATCTCAGGTATCTTGTCGTTTTTACAGCGTTTATTCATATGTTGCCTACAGTTAACCTATTGGAAAGTTTAGAGAGAAAGTGACAAAGAGAAAGACCAAACCCGTAGGATGGGTGCTGTACCAGCGGGAGCTGTGCATGGTTGACTTGTTCTCTGTTCCAGAGCAGATATCCGACATGACTGCGTGTCAGAACCCCGTGGAGAGGCTGGGCGAGTGCTTTGTGTTGCTCATCGTTTAGTGATGTACCATTGAAGACTTGAGGAGTCGCGTGGCCGGTCAGCAACAGATTTAATAAAGCCTAATGGATGTAGAGACAATTTGACACAAATACTAACAAGTCACATGAACAAAAAGCTCTCAAAAAAACATTCCTTACCTGTCGACAAACAAAGTTCCCCAAGCTCAAATGCAAAAGATGAGTGGTGGTACAATCGAAGTCTGCCCGTATCCTACAAATTTAGAGACTGCTTAATTCAATCACTCACTTCATTCATTTCAAATACTAAAATTCTCGAATTTTCTATTTTTTTTTCATATGGCAGATCCATATTCTTTTATCAACTGACTGTATTACGAACTAAAGCTGACTAAACTATTGAGGTATTTCTCAGGTGCTGGAGATGTACTGTATGTTATAATGTTTATCTGTAAGTGCAATAAAGTATTAATGTATTTGTTTCTAAATATGCTACTGTTTAAAAGTTGGTAACATTTTTAATGTTTGTTTGCATTTATTTGATCACAAATACAGTAGAAACAGTAACACAGAGATTTTATTACAATTTAAATGAACTCTTTTCTATTTTGATATATTTAAACGTAATTTATTCATGTGATGGCAAAGCAGAATTAGTATATTAATACTCAATTAGAAGAGTCACATGATCCCTCAGAAATAATTAATATGCTGATTTTGCTGCTTAAGAAATATTCTTCTTGATATTCTACTTATTATAATCAATGTACAAAACAGTTGTGCTGTTTATTATTATTATTGTTATTATTATTAATAATAAAAAATAATAATAATAATGTATACACACACATACATATACAGTATATATATATATATATATATATATATTTCAGGATTCTTTGATTAATAAAAATATATAAAGAACTGTATTTATTAGAATTTTTTAATTTGAGGTTTCTTTGGGGGTTTTTTGTAACAGTGTAAATGTCTTTACTCTCACTTTTGATCAATTTAATGCTTCCTTGCAGAATCGAAGTACTAATTTCTTTCAAGAAAACCTGTAAACATACCTGTCAATAGTCCTGGAGAAGATAAGGCTGTACAGAAAAAGTATGATTCCATGGCTTCCTTCTTCCTTAAACTACAGACATTCAGGTGAAAGTTAATAAAACATCTGTTAATTATCAACATTTACACAATACACAACATTTAAAATTATCAAGTGCATTTATTAAAGTTACCATGGACATATATAATAATATAACATATAGCATAGTTTTCCTAATAATATATAATTTGTGTTTTTACATTTACTCACACATTGGATGTGCTCCCATACAAATGATCTAACATCTTCTTTCTTTTTAAAGGTGAAAATCTGCAACTGTAGAATTAAAAAAAGAAAGAAATTAAATAATTGCAGCATTTTTTTAAGCTGTATGTTAGCATGTTTTCATAAACTGCATGTACCCTCTCTGTGAAGTTGTCCAGTTTGTAGTCCATGTGGGGGGTGAAACAGCGCTCTGACGTGACCAAGCAGACGGTAGCGGTCTGCTCCTCACCAGCTGTCCACAAGATGTCAGATAGAGCGGCTGCCAGCACCTTCCTCTGCTCCTTCTCCCCTACCGTCACCATACTGAGAACGAAAGAAAGAAAGAAAGAGTCTGTCGGAGCTGTGATACAGTGGACTGTGCAGCATCACAACATTCTCATTTCAGTTCAGACGATTCAGTCAAAACCTCAAAAATCTTTAATTTGCATGACACAAGTGCTTTCAACTGCAAAATATGTATATTATCATTATTTATTATTATTATTAATTTTAGATCAGATTATAGAAATAGCAATATTTTGGAGCCTTTAACCCCACTCCTAGCCCAACCATAAATGTTCTGATAGAAACAGATCGAAATGTAAGTTATTACTGACTGAAAACCTGAAATCTTCCCCTCTGCCATGGTTATATCCCACACAATTATACAACCTTGAAAAAAAAAATCACCTTTGCATTGTGCACTCTGAGTTTACTGACCGGTTGAAGAGCAAATATTTAATAATATGAGCCTGAACCACCATCTGAATAGCACAGGCTCCTCCCTGCAAGAGAAGAGAAAGAGAAAACACTGTTTGGGCTCACTTTTGTCATGCATTTCTCTCACAAATTCCACATTATGATTTCCTTTAACTGTAATTGCCATTTTAGAATGCAGGACTTCCATGTTAATGATGAAACACAACAAATATAAATATGATTGATCCAAAAGTTATAATTAAAACAGTGTGTACCAGCTTTTGTGTATTTAAAGGGACCTTTAAATTAAATCAGAGACTTAAATCACAGAATGTTCATTTTTGGCAGAACTAACACAGAACTGTTTTCAACATTGTTTATAATAAGAAATACGTCTTTAGTAACAAATCACCATATTAGAATGATTTCTGGAGGATCAAGTGACACTGAAGACACTAGAACCAAACGTCTTGGTTACTACTGTAACCTCTGTTCTCTGATGGAGTGACATTAGGGCGATTGGGAACCCCAAACACGTTCAGAGATTTTGCATGCCGCTCACCAATATTGTACATACGGGTATAAAAGGTGATGCCGTGCTCCACTCATTTAGGTTTGTGCTGAGGAGCCAAGACAGTGTCCCAGTAATTTCAGCGGGTTGTTCAGTGTTGTGACAGGAGGGAACAACATCTCGTTCCCTCCATCAGAGAACAGAGGTCACAATAGTAACCAAGACATTCCCTATCTGTCACTCACTTGATATTGTGTCAATTTAGTGACACTAGGGGTCCCTATACTAAATTTCACAACTAGCTGAACTGTGTTACGAGGCCTTGCCCAGTGGAAGACAGTGAACAACAGATCATATGGGATTACAAAGAGGGAATCAGCACATATGGAGCACTTAACCTAAGTACATGGGCTCACCTGAAAATGGGCACACCATGATTCAGCTACCACGATAATTCAGCTACCGATGAGTGCTGGAGAAACAGGATGGTGTCCAGGGTTTGTAGGAAATGGGGAACTCAGATGGAAAAAAAGTGCACATTATCACCTCAGAGAGGGGAAAGGCACTGTGTGCAAGTTGTCAGCCAGTTGCCCAAAACTGACCTGTTCATACCCAGTAATATTCGGGACAAAACTGGCTTAACCTGGCGATTGTAAAATCTCACAAAGGTATTGGATATAGCCCAGTCTGCTGCTCTGAAGATGTCTGTCAAAGAGGTGCTGTTCACTAGATCCCAAGAGGCTGCAATACCTCTAGTGGAGTGAGCTCACACTCCCAGGTGGCATGGCATGTCCTGTGCTTGGTATACCAAGAGAATGGTATCCACAATCGAGTGGGCAATCCTCTGTTTGGAGACAAACTTTCCCCCAAAACAGACAAAGAACTGCTCAGAGCATCTGAAACTCTCTGTGCAGTCCAAATAAATGTGCAGGGTGCACACTGGACACAGCAAGGACACGGCTGTGTCTGCCTTGACACAAGGAAGCACTTACACATTCACCACCTGATGCCTGAAAGGGGTGGTGGGAACTTTAGGCACATAGTCGGGCCGGGGTCTCAGAGAGTATTTTGGGCTGAACTCCAAGCACATTTTGCTAACAGAGAATGTAATCTGCAATCCCCCCCCCCCCCCAAAA